TAAAATCATCAAAATACCGAATATCGGGAGGTACCGTTATGTGGCGGCTATACGAAGACGTGGACGTACAGAGACATTTTTCTGTCATAGGCTGTAGCATCCACTACGAACTTCAAATACCAAATTTGAAACAATTCCGCTGAATATTGTCGCAAAAATAATCAAAATACCGAATATCGGGAGGTACTGTTATATGGGGGCTATACAAAGACTTGGACCTGCACTGACAATTTTCTGTCACAGGTTGTAGTATCCATTTCGAACTTCAAATAACAAATTTGAAACATTTCCGTTGAATAATGTCGCTTAAATAACTAAAATACCGAAAAAGGGAGGTACCGTTATATGGAGACTATACCAAAACGTGTACCTACATGGCCCATTTTCAATATCAAAAGTTCTGCAGACATAATATACATTTGAGTAAAATGTTATCAACCTACTTCATTTCGTTCGGAAGCTAGAGTGATTTCCACAGACGTATAAGCGGATAGACGGAGATCGCTAAATCGACATAGAATTTTATGCTGATCGGGAATTTCTATACTTTGTGGGGTCTAAAATGTATATTTCGAGGTTTTACAAACGGAATGGCAAACTTAATAAACCCTCCATACTATGGTGGAGGGTATAAAATGTTTGAAGATGATCGGAAAATTTTTTTTTAAATATTTTATATCCATCCAATATCTAAAGACTCAAAAATCCAATGAAAACCGAGAACTCAAATAATTTCCAATTATTATTATTATTTCTTTACTCATTTTCTTTACCCTGATGCCGAACACACGATATGACAAGGAATGTCAATTCATAGTTCAGAATGAACGACGAAACGGGGCAAGAAAATCATTTTCAATAATTTACAGCTGCATTTAATGCTGGATGAAGTAGCAACAGCAACAACAATACCATTAATTGTAACAGTAGCACAAGTTTCGCAAAAAAAAATGCAATCAAATTCTAAGATGAAAGAAAAAATATCAATGCTTTATCCAAAACAACAACAGCAACAACAAAAATATCTTTGGAATGACTTCCTATAAATCTACACATCATCTTTGTTTTTTTGGTGAGATACAACTTCAACACCAGGCAGCCAGCCAACCAACTAACCATCCAGTGAGCTCATCAAACCAATAGTAAACATCTGGTCTGGTCTGGTCTGGCTAAGCCACCATTCACCAGCTTCCCTGGCAGCAGCTTTGGATCCCTGTTAGGAAGGGGGGCATCATAACCATCATCATCATCATCGGCCAGCCTCAGAGCATTGGCTTTTGTCGGTCATTTATACAACATCAGTTAAGCTCTCGATTAACAAGTGTTTTATTTCAGTTGTTTTTTTTTTCTCTTTGGTTAGAAGGGAAGATATATATATATATATAGAGAGAGAGAGAGAGAGAGGAGGAGACTGTTTTCATAGATTTGTTGTGGTCTAACTTGGTATACTCATGTCATCGCTGTTGTTATATCATTAATGATGCTGCCATTGTTGGTGTTGTTGTTGTTTGTATTGTTGTTATTATTGGTAATTGTATTGTTGTGCATCGTGTTGTGATTGTTGTTGTTTTTTGGGAGCTAAGCTAAGCTTTGCTAGTTAGGGATTTAAATGGCTTGGGGTACAGTGGAGGATTGGATTCGAATTAGATATAGTGAATCAAGAATCTACGTTATCTGGAGAAGCAGGCTAAATGTATCTACGTCATCTAGATGACGTGGATAATATATCTTAGCCTAATAGATAGCGTGGACGATCATAGATAATAGAAAAATTTCTTAAATATATCTACGTTATCTGGATGACGTGGATAATGTATCTGCGTCTTCTGTGATACGTGGATAAAGTATCTACGTCATCTAGATGACCTGGATAATGTATCTACGTCGTCTGGATAACGTGGATAATGTATCTACGTCATCTAAATGACGTGTATAATGTATCTACGTTATCTAAATGACGTGGATAGTGTATCTACGCTATCTTAATAACGTGGATAATGTATCTACGTCATTTAGATAACGTGGACAATGTATCTTCGTCATTTGGATGAGTAGATAATGTATCTACGTTATCTGGATGACGTTGAAAAAGTATCTACGTCATCTAGATGACGTGGATAATGTATCTGCGTTATCTGGATAACGTGGATTATGTATCTACGTCATCTAGATGACGAGGATAAACTATATACGTCATCTAGATGACGAGGATAAAGTATCTACGTCATCTAGATGACGTGGATAATGTATCTGCGTTATCTGGATAACGTGGATTATGTATCTACGTCATCTAGATGACGTCGATAATGTATCTACGTCATCGGGATAACGTGGATTATGTATCTACATCACCGAGATGACGGGGATTATGTATCTACGCTATCGAGATGACGTGGACAATGTATCTACGTTAACTGGATATCTAAATGCCGTGATCATCTAAATGCCGTGAATAAAGTATCTACATCATCTAAATGCCGTGAATAAAGTATCTACGTTTTCGGAATAACGTGGATTATGTATCTACGTCATCGAGATGACGGGGATTGTGTATCTACATCATCGATATGACGTGGATAATGTATCTACGTCATCTAGATGATGTAGGTAATGCATCTACATCATCAAGATAACGTGGATAATGTATGTATGTCATCTGGATGACATCTATAATGTATCTACGTCTCTAGATAACGAGGAAAATGTATCTACGTCATCTGGATGGTGAGAATAATGTATCTATGCTTTCCAAATAAAGTGGATAATGTATCTACTCCTTTCAGATAACGTGGATAATGTATCTTCGTCATCTGGATGACATCTATAATGTATCTACGTCTTCTAGATAACAAGGAAAATGTATCTACGTCATTCGGATGGTGAGAATGATGTATCTATGCTTTCTAAATAAGGTGGATAATATATCTACTTCTTTCAGATAACGTGGACAATGTATCTTCGTCATCAGGATGACGTTGATAAAGTATCTACGTTGGCTCCATACTGTGGATATAGTATCTGCGTTATCTAGATAACGTGAAAAAAGTATATAAATGCTCCAGAGAACGTGTAAAATGTATCTATGTTTTCTGTATAATATCGAAAATGTATCTACGTCTTCCATATAACGACGGATAATGTATCTGCGTCATTTACATAATCTTGGAAATGTATCTGCGTCATTTAGATAACCTTGGATATGTATCTACGTCATCCAGATATCATGGATAATGTATCTACGCCATCAAAAAAGTATATAAATTTGTTCAAAATGTATCTACGCCATCTAGATAATCTGGAAAGTGTATCTACGTTATTCAGGTAACAATCATAATGTATCTACGCCATCTAGATAGTCTAAAAAATGTATCTACGTCATCTAGACAACCTGGAAATGTATCGACGTCTTCCAGATAACATGGATAATGTATCTTCGTCATTTAGGTTACATAGATAATGTATCTACGTTGTCTTGACATCATGAAAAAGTGTCAAAAATGTATCTGTGACATCTAGATACAATGGATAATGTATCTACACCACTAAGATATTAAAAATAATGTATCTACATCATTTGGATAACGTGGATAATGTATCTACGTCACCTGGATAACCCGGATAAAGTATATACGTCTCTCTGAAGAAGTCTATAAAATATTCACACTATTTGGATATCGCGGATAATATATCTACATCACTTGGAGAACATATTTTATATGTCTACGATATTTGAAATGGGCAAAGTATCTACTACACTTGAATAATGGTGATGATGTATCTTCGTCACTTAGATAAGGTGGATAACAGCTCTACATCTTTGATGATGCGGATAATATATGTACGCTACTTAGATACAGCGGATAATGTATCTAGTTCACTTATATTGCGCAGATAATGTATTTAAGCCATTTGGATGACGCATATAATGTATATTATCCCCTTGGATAGGGCGAATAATCTATCTAAACCTCTTGGTTTGTGCGGGAAATTTATCTAAGCCACTTGGATAGCGCGTATAAAGTATCTAAGCCACTTGGTAATGCGAATAGTGTATCTAAGCTGATTGGGTAACGCGAATATTAAATCTATGAGACTTGGATGACTTGGATAATCTATCTATTGGACTTGGATAACGAGGGTTTTTTTATCTAGGCCACTTAGAATGCGCGGATATTGTACCTAAGCCATTTGGATAATAGGGGTAATATATCTACGCCACCCGGATAGCACGGGTAAGGTGGATAATACTTCCATAAAGTTCTAAGAATGCGAATAATATAACCACATCATGTTCCGAACTTAAGGGATAAATGCGAATTTACATCTATTATAGCTTAAAATCTCGGAAAAAATTTCAATCTGCTGTCCTTATTGCCCCACTGTGCCATCATCTCACAAGTAGTTGTTTTTATTTTGATTTCTTTTGTCATTGTTTGTGCATCATTTACGCTTATGAATATGCTCACAGCAAAGCGCAGAAAAAAAAAACAATCAACAACAATAACAGAATAACACAAAACACTTTAATTCATGCTCGTCGTCTGTGGCGCGCACTGGCACTGCCACTCTGCTGGCTATTTTCCTTGGCTACCGTCATTGGCGGAGTGCGTGTTCCAGATGCATTTGTTCAAAATGCATCAGCATTCTTCAAAATTCTACTCGAAGTACTTTCACAAAGCCAATGAATTAATGCCATTCTTCCATATTTTCTTCTTCTTTCTTTTGTTTAATTGAGTTTCCAATGAATGATATTTATCTGGGCACAGGCCACAAGTGTAGCTGCATAATTTTAGCTCTATGGAAATATGGATATAACAATGATCCATATCATGGCTATTCGAACAAAAAAAATGTGGAGCTGGCTAATGATCTAAAGGCGAGAATGAAAATTCCAGCGACGGTGATGTCATTGCAGAGCAATGAACTGGGAAGAGAGATCCATTTCAGAGATGACCTGATGGTGGAACTTAATTAAAATTGACAACAGGATGAGGCAGGAATGTTTTCGAAAAGATTTATTTCAACGGAAATTCAGATCAAAAACTATAATGGGAAACTCGAAAAAATAATTATGACTATCACTCCTCATCTTCGTAGGGATAATCGGGAACTGTGTAGTTGAAGAAAAGCAATTCCGTTTGGGTCACCTTGGGGATAAACTTTCGTTTTTTGGGAATTCCAAACATTTACACATATTTTCTCTACTTACATACACAATAGAGGCCACAAAGGATGCCAGGCCACTGAGCAACATCATCGTCTGACGTGATTGCCTCTTGGCATTGAACTCCTTCCAGCAACCCTCCGGTATGGGCATATCATTGAATGTGGACTGTTCTCCACCATCCTTAAATTTTGCCCAGAGACGGGGAGCGGTTTGAACTGGGGCGAAAGGGTAATATTTGGAAATTTTCCAGGAAAATGAAGTGTATTCTGGAACTTACTGGACCGAAGGAAACCCAAGCGGGCTTGCTTGATTAAATTTGAGGCCATTGAGGTAAAATTCTGTGGTTCTTATTTTTATTTATGTAATAGTCCTTCTTCTGTCTTGAAAAATATTTGAAAATAAAAAGTTTTGAAGTATAGAGAAAACCAAGGCCTGTTCTGTTTTGAAGTTGTCAAAGTAATGTTAAGGTGTTTTCCACACTATCCGAATAATTTGAAATCATTATCGATTTTATCCGGTCACAATATTCGGATTATGTAGAAACATTATCCGAGCTATCCGAGGAATATAGATGAATTACCTACATTATCCGAGCCTTCTAGAAGTATTAGCCGTGTTAAACGAACAACGTAGAATTATTATCCTTGTTATTCGAGTCTTCTATAGCTGTTATCCGCATTATTCGGGCACTCTAGAAATGCCAACCATATTATCTGAGCTATCTACAAGTATTATCCAGGTTATCCGAGAAATGTTAAAACATTATCCACGTTATGTGGGAATGAAGAAATATTAGTTAACTTATCCGAGTGCTCTAGAGGAGTCATCCGCACTATTCGGAAAATTACAAAATTATTATCTACGTTATCCGGACAATGTAAAAGTATTATCCACATTATCCTAGTGTCCTTGAAGAGATATCCGCACACTTTGAAGTATTATCCGCGTTATCGGAGTCATAAAAAACATTATTTCGCACAATACAGAAGTAAAATCGGCACTATTTGAGTATCCTAGAACTATTATCCGCTATATCCGGACAATGTAGAAGTAATATCCTCATTATCCGAATATTCCAGAAGTATTATCCACGTTATCCAAGAAATATAAATGAATTATCGATGTTATCCGATGACTATAGAGGTGTTATCTGCACCATGTAGAAGTAATATCCTCATTATCCGAGTACCTCAGAAGTGTTATCCGCATTATCCGAGAAATATAAATGTATTATCCATTATATCCGAGATACTATAGAGGTGTTATGCGCATTATCCGGACAATGTAAAAGTATTACCCCATTTAGAGGCTCTAGAAGTGTTAACCGTCTTATCAATATGCTCCGTTTTTTTTAGTAATCTAAATCCGTTATCCAGATTATCCGAGAGAAATCTAAAAATATTATCCGCGCTATCCGGCCAATTACTACACATTATCCCAGCAACCGATACCTATTATCCACATTATCCGGACAATGTTTAAGCGTCATCCATATTATACGAGTACTTCAATGTTGTTATCCGCATTATCCGGGCACTAAAGAAGGATAATCCCCGTTATGCGACTATTCTATATGGATTATCCGCATTATCCGTTGAATGTTAAAGGATTATCTAAAGTATCCAAATATCCTAGAAATTATTTTCGAATTATCCGGACAATGTAAAAGAGTTATCCGAGCATTGATTTAAAGTTTTATCTGCATTATCCGAGTATTGAAAAAAAATTGTCCACATTATACGAGCAGTGCAAAAGTGTTAACCGCGTTATCCGAGCACTTGAAAAGCATTATCCGTGTTATCCGGAAAATTTTCAAGCATTTTCTAACGTATTTTAGAATTAAAAAACTTTTATCCGCACTATCCGAGCAATGTAATAATATTATCCGCGTTATCCGAGAAAAATTTTAGTATTATCTACCCTATCCAAGTTTTAGAAAATAATTATTCGCTTTATCCGAGCATTTGAAATGTCTTATCCGCGTTATCCGAGCAAAGTTTAAGTAGTTTATACCTTATCCAAGTATTAAAAACAATTATCCGCATTATCTGAGATATGTAATAATGTTATTCTCGTTATCCGAGCACTTGAAAACCATTATCCGCGTTATCCGGGCAAAGTTTTAGTAATATTTACCTTATCCGAGAAGTAGAAAACAATTATCCGCATTATCCGAGCTGTTGAAAAACATTATCCGCGTTATTCAGGCAATGTAAAGGTAGTTTCTACCTTATATGAAAATTAGAAAACAATTATCCGCATTAACTGAACAAAGAGATAATGTTATCCGCGTTATCCGATCACTTCCAAACCATTATCCGCCTTATCCGGGCAAAGTCTCAGTATTATCTACCTTATCCAAGTATCAAAAAACAATTATCCGCGTTATCCGAGCACTTCAAAAGCATTATCCGTCTTATCCGGACCAATTTTAAGAATTTTCTAACTTACTCTTGTTGCAAAAAACAATTATCCGCCTTATCCGGGCAAAATATTAGTATTATCTACCTTATCCAATTATCAAAAAACAATTATCCGCGTTATCCGAGCACTTAAAACACATTATCCGTGTTATCCAGGCAAACTTTTAGTATTATTTACCTTATACAAGCATCAAAAAACAATTATCCGCATTATCCGAACAATGTAATAAAGTTATCCGCTTTATCCGAGCTCTTTAAAAGCATTATCCGTCTTATCTGGAACAATTTTAAGCATTTTCTAACTTACTCTAGCATCGAAAAACAATTATCCGCGTTATCCGGGTAAAGTTTTAGAATTATCTATTTAATCCCAATATTAAAAAACAATTATCAGTATTATCTGAATAATGTATTGGTGTTATCCGCTTTATCCGGGCAATGTAAAAGGAGTTTTTACCTTATCCGAGCATTAAAAAAACAATTATCCGCATTATCCGGGCAATTTTAAATTGTTATCCACTATATCCGAGCAGCTAGATCCATTTTCCACTATTTAGAAATAATTTCAGAATATTATCCACCTTATCCAGATTTATCCTCGTTATCCCTAAGCCCAGAATACATTATCCATGTTATCAAAATGCGGCAGATATATTATCCGCGTTATCCAAACTTTATTCAGAAAGAACAAGAATAGTTATCCGGGATATCGAAATGTTTGGAAAACATTATCCACGATATCCAAATACTTGGGAAATATTATCCGCATTATCCGAAAGGTTAGAAAAATATTACCCACGACATCCAAACATTTGGAGAACACCATCTACATTATTCAAACGATTGGAAAACATTATCCGCGTTATCCAAATGCCTGGGAAATACTATCCACGCTATTCAAATGCTTCGGAAATGTTATTCACGTTAGAACATAAGCCTAGAAAATATTATCCATGATATCCAAACACTTAGAAAACACTATCCACATTATCTAAATCCTAGAAAACTTTATCCACATTATCTAAATGCTTGGAAGCTTTATCCACCTCATCCAAAACACACAAGAAAATACCCGGAAGCCTAAAAATCATTATCCGAAATCATTATCCACATTATTCAGCATTATCCACGATATCCCTATGCCCAGAAGACTTTATCCGCGTTACATAAAAATGAGTTGGATAAATTATCCTCGTTATCCAAAATATTCAGAAAGAATAAGAATAGTTATCCGGGATATCGAAATACTGGGAAAACATTATCCACGCCATCCAAATGCTTTGGAAATTTTATCAATGTTATCCGGAAGCTTAGAAAATATTACCCACGACATCCAAACAGTTGCAGAACATTATTTACATTATCCAAATGCTTGGAAAACATTATCCGCGTTATCCAAATTCTTGGGAAATACTATCCACGCTATCGGAAATTTTATCCTCGTTAGAAAATAAGAATAAAAAATATATTCCACGATATCGAAACACTTGGAAAGCAATATCCACATTATCCAAAGGGTAGAAAACTTTATCCACGTTATCCTAAAAGACAAAAATCATTATCCGGAGGCCTAAAAATCATTATCCACATTATCCAGCATTATCCATGATGTCCCTATGCCCAGAATACATTATCCATGTTATCAAAATGCGTCAGATATATTATCCGCGTAATCCAAAATATTCAGAAACATAAGAATATTTATCCGGGATATCGAAATGTTTGGAAAACATTATCCACGCTATCCAAATGATTTGGACATTTTATCCACGTTATCCGGAAGCCTAGAAAATATTAGCCACGACATCCAAACAGTTGGAGAACATCATCTACATTATCCAAACGCTTGGAAAACATTATCCACGTTATCCAAATGCTTCGGAAATGTTATTCACGTTAAAAAATAAGCCTAGAAAATATTATCCATGATATCCAAACACTTAGAAAACATTATCCAAAGCCTAGAAAACTTTATCCACGTTATCCAAATGCTTGGAAGCTTTATCCACGTCATCCAAAACACACAAAAAATATATCCGGAAGCCTAAAAACCATTATCCGAAAGCCTGGAAAATGTTATCCAAGTTATCCACATTCTTGGGAATCGTTATCCACGTTATCCTGAAGGCTAAAAATCATTATCCAAATTATTAGGAATCATTATCTATGCTATTCCGAAGCCTAGAAAACTTTATCCACGTTATCCAATGTTTGGAAAACATTATCCACGTCATCTCAAAACCTAGAATACTTTATCCATGTTATCCAAATGCTTCGGAAAAATTATCCACGTCATCTTGAGGCCTAGAAAACGCTATCCAAGTTATCCAAATACTTGGGAATCATTATCCACCTTATCCAAATGGTTAGGAATCATTATCTATGCTGTTCCGAAGCATAGAAAACGTTATCCACGTTATCCAAATGCTTGGGAATCGTTATCCACATTACCCTGAAGGCTAAAAATCATCCACCTTATCCAAATTGGTTAGGTATCATTATCGATGCTATCCCGAAGCCTAGAAAACTTTATCCATGTTATCCAAATGCTTCGGAAACTTTATCCACGTCATCTTAAAACCTAGAATACTTTATCCATGTTATCCAATTGCTTCGGAAACATTATCCACGTCATCTTGAGGCCTAGAAAACGTTATCCAAGTTATCCAAATGCGTTATCCATGTTATCCTAAAGGCTAAACATCATTATCCACGTTATCCAAATGGTTACGAATCAATATATATGCTATCCCGAAGCCAAGAAAACTTTATCCACGTTATCCAAATGGTTCGGAAACATTATCCACGCCATCTTGAGGCCTAGAAAACGTTATCCAAGTTATCCAAATACTTGGGAATCATTATCTACGTTATCCTGAAGGCTGAAAATCATTATCCACGTTATCCAAATGGTTAGGAATCATTATCCACGTTATCCTGAAGGCTGAAAATAATAATCCACGTTATCCAAATAGTTAGGAATCCTTATT